CAGAGTAGCTACAACAGTGGACTCAAGCGGCAACAATTGTGAGGATGGCGTAGGACTGGACCATTTTTCATTCCGTTCTATAAGGTTGCTATGATTTGAAACAGACTCAACAGCATGGAACACCAATAACTATTAATAACATAATATCAAGTCACAGAACAAATGAAGCAAATGGTCCTTCAATTTATATCGATTTATACTAGAAAAAATATTTTTAAAATTCCTTTTGCTTTGTAATTCAGGTATATCACACCAATTTTTACATTACTTCGTGATTCTGTTTCAGATGCAGATTATGTTTTCAACTGTTAACTTTTGATATTGGTTATGGCAGTTTCAGACACCCTGTAGTTCTTCAAGTAAGTATGACCTTCCACATTTTGGTCCAAGATCCACATGCTTTCCTATATGTGTGTATTGTTATTGCTGTTGTTGTTATTGTCATTCCTAGTAACCTAGCAATAGGAAGAATTTGAAGCAAACGCATTGTAGATGGTGGTTTAGGGATTTAGCTAGTATGTAGGAATCCCTGCAATGTGTCTCTTAGTTTTAGCATAATTTAACCATTGTTTGTGATGTAAATGTGTAAAATCAAGCATGTTAATGGGAAAAAAGTAGATATAAGATAACAAGAAATAGCAAATTTATTCATTTGATTTTATAAAAGACGTCATTATTCTCTTGTTTACATAAACATATTTAATTTAAGTTGCACCTAACAGCAGCAACATATTTGAATTTGGAGAAGAGTGGTACAATGTGTAAGATAAGTCATAGACCTTGAGCTACAAGGTCAGTGGTCTGAGCACATCAGCATCTCCCTGGGAGAAAGATTGGGCTTTCTGTTCTTGCAGAGATTTACAGCCTCAGAAATTCTACATAACTGACTTGACAACAACAAAAACAAATATTTGAATTACCAAACCAAAACCACTGATACCAAGTTGATTCTTGCTCATAGTGACCTCATATAGGATTTCTAACTGCCAACTTTGTGCTTAGCATTCCAGTGCTTATCCTACAGCACAACTAGACTGCTAGTTGCTAAGTCAACAGTTCAAACCCACCAGCCGCTCGATGGGAGATAAGATGAGGCTTTTTTCTCCCATTAATATAATACAGCTCACCTAAAAATCATAAACCCATGACTTAGATTTGATTCAATGACAGTAGGGTTACATTGGTGTGGGATACTTGAATTAAAAAGCTAAAGGAATTTAAATAAAAAT